CAAACTTGGCACCGTTGCTGAGCTCTTCCTCAGCTCCAGGGGCTGCTCCAAGCCCCTTTTCCCACCATCATCCTCCTCTCTCCAGCCAGAGGGAGCTGCTGGAGCTGGATCCTTCTGCCCCAGGGGTAGCAGGAAGGCTAAGCACCAACTTTTGGGGTAAAACCAGAATAAAAACGGTGTGTTCTCTCCCAACTGCCCCAGGAAGGGACTGAGGGCATCATCCTGGCCCAAGCTGGGCACCAGCTCTGGCTCTTGCTCTCTTTGCTCTTTTGCAACTCTCCAGGAGTTTTTTTTCTGTGTCCAAAAAAGCCACTCCTGGCTCCTCTTTGTGCCCAGACCCTGAGGGAGGATCCCCAGCCCCTTTTTTAGAGGCTGCTGGTGCTGTAACTATGCCCTGGGGGGGGTTGCTTTTTCCAGGGCTGATTTCACAAAACCCAAATAAAAGCCCCATAAAAAAAACCCCTGAGTGCCTCTTGCCCAACTGCCGGGAAGGGAGAGGCCAGAGGTGGGGAGGGAATGTTTTCCAGAGGGTCAGTCCCATCCTTGGAGTGGGAAAGACGTGGGGATCCCACTGCCAGCCCCTCTCCTCCCACCCCTGGGTCCCAGCGGTGCAGGTGGGGCTCCCTGCCTGTGGAATGGGGGGTCCCCAGGTCTTGGGGTGGGGGTTGTTCCTCCAGAGCCCCGATACCAAAGAAATACGGTATTACCATACCACACCCCCCCCAATAAAACCTCAGCCCAGTGCAAAACTAACCAGTTTATTGCTTCTTGTGCTGTTCTCACCCTACAGAACGGGGGGCTTGAAGGCACTGGGGGCACGGGGGACCCTCCGGGGGGGCTGGAGGAGACCCCCAACAGGCACTTGGGGGGGTCCAAGGCACGTTCCTGCAGGGGACAAGGGACAGAGCCGTGGGGGGTGGGGAGGGGGGGGCAGGCAGGTCCCCACATGGGCAGGCACAAGGTTAGGGGGGGCGAGCTGGGCCGGGCAGGGGGGGTTTCGTAGCTGCTCCTAACGAGGCTTCGGGGGTGTTACAGGGGGAGGGGACCCGCAGGCCGCTACTTCATCTCCTCCACGGCGCGCTGGCCGGAGGGGGCGAAGGGTCCCACCAGCCACGTCAGGGGGGTGCTGGAGGCCACGCGCTCCACCAGCTCGTCCAGCAGCTGGCGGGCCGTGGCGGCGTGGCCGCGAGCCCGGGCCAGCACGGCGCCCGTCAGGTCCTGCAGGGAGGCAGCCGAGCCCAGGGCCGCCCGCAGCTCCTCCACGCTGTGCCGCACCTGCCCCGCCGTGTCCTGCACGCCCGCGGGCAGGCCCTGCAGGCCGCTCAGCAGGGGCTGGCACGAGCTCTGCAGCTGCTGGGCCAGCCCCTGCAGCATGGCCAGCGCGCCAGACTCCACCGTCTGCCAAAGAAATATGGAGCGGTGAGGGGTGGGGGACGCGCCCCGGGGTCACCCCGGGGGACCCCCCCCTGCCCTAAAACCCTCTGCCTACCTCCGGTGCCGCCGCCGGGTCCTTGGCACCGCCCGGCTGCTTCTTGCTCCACTCCAGCCACATCTGCTGCAGCTTCTCCTGCCCTCCCTGCAGCCTCTGGTCCACACCCTGCTTCAGGTGCTCCACCTGGGAGAGAGGAGAGCCCAAGGTGGGTTGGTAGGTGGGTTGGTGGGTGGGTGGGTGGGTGGGGGACACCTCGGGGTGACACGATGAGGGGCACAGGGATGGGTCCTACCAGGTCAAGGGCGCCCTGGAGCTGTGCCAGCAGTTCCTGGCTGCTGTGGCGGGCGCTCTGCAGCTTGCCCAGCGAGTGCTGGAGGGCTCTGTGCTGCACCTTGCTGGAGAGGGAGCCCAGGCGCACAAAGTAGCTCTGCTGCTGCTTCTGCTGCTCCGGCTCGAAGCCCTCCACGGCCGTGGCCAGCTTGGCTGTGGGACAGGAGCTGCTGAGGTGGCCCCACCACCTCCCTGCAGAGCCTCCATCACCCTGCCCAGGCTCTCTCTGCCCACAACACATCTCCAGGGGTTTGGGATCAGCTGCTCACCCAGCTCCTCGTTGGTCATGGGCAGGTAATGGTCCACCAGCTCCTCCGACTTCTCCAGCACGGAGCCCACCCCGCTGGCCACCATCTGGCCCACGGAGGAGCCCATGACGGTGCTGACCCCGCTGCTGACCGCCGACCTGGTCAGCTCCACGCCGCCCTGCACGGCCCCCCTGGTCATGTCCACCACGCCCGTCACCCGGCTGGTCACGGCGTCCCTGGCCCCGGCCACGGTGCTGCTCAGCACGTCCCGGGCCCCCGTCACCGTGGAGGTCACCAGGAGCTTGGTGTCTGAGATGAGCTGCGAGGGCACACGCACAGCCCTCCGTCAGGCGCTGCTGGGGGCTCCCCCCCCAGGGTGTTTGCCCACCCCACCTGCCCCTGGTACCTTCTCAGGGGGCTGCTGCAGGATGGGCAGCTTCTCCTCCAGCTTGTCCAGCCCTTTGCAGGCGAATTCGTTGGCGGTGGAAACTGGGGAGGTGAAAAGAGGTGGGTTAATACCCTCCTGCCCTGCAGGAGCTCTGCCAGGGCCCAGTTTTGGGCACCCCAGGGGGTGCTGCTTCCTCCAGCTTGTCCAGCCCTTTGCAGGTGTGATTTTTGGTGAAAGGAACCAGAAACGATAAAATAGCTTCTCCAGCTCTTGCTGCCCTGCAGGAGCTCTGCGAGAGCCAGTTTTCCATCACCCCAAAACTCAGGGGGTGTTTCTCCAGCCCTTTCTCCCTCGGCCACATAACCCTGACACACAAACCCAGATCCCCCCTCTGCTGCTGCCTCACTGGAGCTCTGCCAGAGCGAGTTTTGGGGGGTTCCCCACCCCCGTGGGGTGATGTCCCTTCCCCCCCACACTCACTCTGTGGCTCCAGCCGGGTGAGGAGGGGCTGGGCCCCACTCACGGCCGCCGCCGTCAGCGTCTTCACCCCCTTCTCGGCGGCGTCGCAGACCGAGCGGACATAGGGGTGACTCTCCTTGGTGGAGCTGTAGGCGCTGGACACCATGTCGTAGGCAGAACTCACCAGGGGCAGGTTGGCCACGCGCGTCCCGATGCTCTGCGGAGCATGGGTGGAGTCAGGGGGAGCGCAAGGGGGGGATGGATCCCCAAATCTCACCGGGGAAGGGGAGTACTCTGTGTCCCCACCTCTTCAGGGATGGTTTTGAGGTGCTCCCAGGGCTCTCCCAGCCTTCCGAAGGGACAAAGCAGAGCCCCGTCCCCAGGCAGGAGAGGACAGGACATGTTTTGGGATGAGCCCCCTCCCCCAACCAGCCCCCTTTCCCCCACTGACCTGCTGCTCCTCCGCCTTGGGCTGCGCCGTCGCGGGCTCGGGGGTGGCCATGGTGGGGCTGGGGGGGACGGGACAGGACCGTGAGTGGCGTCAGACCCCCCCCTCAACACTCCCCTCAAACCCCCCGCATGGGGGGCCCAAAGTTTTCCCACTCCACGGGCCGGGGCAGCTCCCACACGCTTGGGAAAACCCGGGACAGGGGGGTCCCAGGGACCAGCACCGGCATCGGCACCGGGATCGCGGCCGGGACCATGATCGGGATCGCAATCGAAAGCGGAACCGCGATTGCGATCGCAAACGGGATCGCAATCGGGATCGGAACCGGGATACGGATCGGGCTCACCGCTGGTGGCTCCGCTGGGTTCGGCTCCGCTCGGCTCGGTTGTGGCTCCGGGCTCGCCCCGCTCCTCCCCAGCGCCCTTTATACCCCCGGAGCCCGGCCCCGAGCGCATGTGACCGGAGCCGCCCCGCGGGGCCGGCCCGGGGCGCACCGGGAGCACCGACCGGCGGGGCCGCCACCACGGAAAACCCCCGGGACCGCGGCTGGGATCTCCTCGGGACTGGGATCCCCCCGCGATCAGGATTAGGATCCCCCCGGAACTGGGATTAGGATCCCCGCGGGACCCGGCTGTAGCGCCCCCCCAAAACCGTCTGCACCGAGTCCCCCCCTCCCAGCACCGGGACTGGGCTGCACTGACCCCCCCGGACACGACCCCTCTGTCTGTGCTGCACTGACCCCCCTCCCCGGTCCCGGATACCCCGGGAATGGGCTGCACCGACACCCCCTCAGGGCCGGGACTCCCCCAGACTGGTCTACAGCGACCCCCCGGCCCCCATTCCCCAGGATCAGGCTGCACCGACACCCCCTCAGGGCCGGGACTCCCCCAGACTGGTCTACAGCGACCCCCCGGCCCCCATTCCCCAGGATCAGGCTGCACTGACACCCCCACCCAGAGCCAGCTCCCCTCCCCCGGGCACTGGATCCCCCACACCCACCTTCCCTGGCACCGAACTCCCAGGAGAAATCACGCCACGACCCCCCACGACCCCTTCCCTTCATGTGGATCCCCCAGGATGGGGGTCCCAGTGCTCCCCGACCCACCTGGCCCAGTGGAGATGGTCAGACTGGTCCCAGTGGGTGCTGGTGGCAGGAGGGTGGACAGTGACAGAGCACCCGGTGTCACCCACTGGGTGCTGTGACCACGCCGTGCCTGTGATGTCGGGGACACCCCTCCGTGGTGACAACGGGGACAAAGTTCAGTGCCACACGGCTGCGGGGCACAGTCCAGGTGGCATCCTGTGGCACCCTCAGTCGCAGCACCTCACTGGCACCCACCCCTGCTCTCCCACCCTCCGCTGGGACCCTCCCTGGGGGTGCCCCCTGGCTCTGCCGCCCGTGCTGAGCCCCCCCCCCCTCGGGTGGGCCCAAGGCCCCACAACAACCTCTGAGTCATTTTTAAGGCCAAAAAAAAAGTTGTTTTCTTCCTCTTTAAACCAGTTTGAAGCTGTTAAGGCACCAAATCCCAACGCTCCCGGGGCTTGGGGACGCCCACGCTGCGTCCTCCATGTCCCCACACGAGTCCCTGGCAGTGACATTGGGGTCCCACGCGGCATCACCGAGTCCTTCATCCCCCTGACCCCACTGGGGGTGGGGTTCCCAGTCATGGGTGGGTGGGTGGGCGCTCCCGTGGCTCAGTGCTGGCCGCACACCGGCTGTGACGCCCGGCGCGTGCCCCCGACGGTGACGCAGCCCTCCCACTTGGCCATCTCCAGCGGGGCGTCCTCGGGGTACTCCACCAGCGCCGGGGCGAAGGGTCCCACGAGCCAGGGCAGGGGCGTGTGCTGCCCCACGTGCTCCAGCAGCTCGTCGATGCCCAGCTGCGCCCGCGCCACCCCGTCCCGGCTCTGCGCCAGCACCAGCTCCGACAGGTCGTGGAAGGAGCGGGCGCGGGCCAGGGCGGCCTGGACGCCCTCCACGCCGTGCCGGACGTGCCCCGCCGTCTCCTGCACGCTGCCGGGGAAGGCCCGGGCGCCCGAGGCCAGGCGGGCACAGGCGCCCTGGAGCTGCTGCAGGAGCCCCTGGAGCATGGCCAGGGCCCGAGCCTCCACCTGCGGGGCACCGGCGGGCACGGCGGGGGCTCCAGAGGGGCTCCAGGCCTTGGTGTCCTCCATGGGTATGGCCCCCCCCACCCCATACTGCGGTGTACTGGCCCCCCAGCCCATCCTGTGGTGTCCTCAAGTGGGTATGGCCCCCCCAACCCCATCCCATCCCTTGGTCTCCCCCAACCTGTATCTTGGTGTCCTCCACAGTCACTCATGGCCCCCTCACCCCATACCTCACTTCCAAGACCACAGTACACCCCCCCCCATCCCATTCTCAGTGTCTTCCCTGGGTACTCCTGCCCTGTACCTTGGTCTCCTCCACGGCCACAGCCTCCCACCCCATGCCATGCTGTCCTACATGACCACAGCCCCTCACCCCCTATCTGGATGTCCCCCATGGCCACGGTCCCCTGTCCTACTCCTTGGTGTCCTCCATGAACACAGCCCCCCACCCCATCCCCGGGTGCCCCCCAAGGTGCCCCCACCCCGTACCTGGCTCTCCTCCATGGGCACAGCCTCCTGCTGGCTCCACTCCAGCCACAGGCGGTGGAGACGCTGGCGGGTGCCGCGCCGGGGCCCGTCGGTGCCCTGCTGCCCCTCCTCGATCTGGGGGGATGTCCAGCCAGGTGGGAGCGCACCCGGGGGTGCCGGGCCAGCCCGGGGCTTCCCGTGTGCCACGTCCTTACCAGCTGGATGAGGTGGTGGAGCTGTGCCAGCAGCTGCTGGGCACTGTGCCGGGCCCGCCGCAGCTCGCCCAGCGAGCGCCGCAGGGCCCGGTGCCGCAGCTGGGCCGACAGGGAGCCCACGCGGACGAAGCAGCTCTGCCACCGCCTCTGCCGCTCCGGCGGGGCCACCTCCGGGCCTGCTGGGGCCACCTCTGTGCCCGGGGCCACCTCCGGGCCTGCTGGGGCCACCTCTGTGCCCGGGGCCACCTCCAGGCCTGCTGGGGCCACCTCTGTGCCCGGGGCTCGCTGTGCACCTGCTGTGGCTGCTGCGGGACCAGGGGTGAGGATGGCATGGATGGACCGTCCTGTGCCAGGCACTGCATCCACCCCACACCAGGCACTGGATCACCCCACACCAGGCACTGCATCCACCCCACACCAGGCACTGGGACGATCCCCCCGAACCTCCACGCACAGGGGCGCCCACCCATGGGATGCTTGGCCACCAGGTCATGTTGAAGGTGTCACCACAAAGCCCGGTGGCCCCTGCGGTCACCTCTGTGACACAGGGCCAGCTCTGCCACCCCTGTGCCAAGCTATAAATACCCAGGCAGGCAGGGCAGCACAGGACTATATTTGCCTCGGGTTTCCAGGTGAGAGTTCACCAGTGCCCTGGGTGGGGACTGTCCCCTGCCCAGTGTCACGGTGACCACGCTGCCCTGGCACCGCCACGGGGGGCTGAGCACGGCCAAGGGGAGCCCAGGAGGGGTTTGCACCCCCCCAAATTCGGGAGATGGTGCCTGTGACAGCACGGTGGGCACTCACCCAGCTCCTCCTCCGTCCTGGGAAGGTACCTGCCCACCAGCTGCTCCGATTTCCCCAGCACCCTGTCCACCCCCGTGAGCAGCAGCCGCCCCACGCGGGTGCCCAGCACGGTGCTGAGCGTCCTGGCCACCGCCCCGCTCACCAGCTCCCTGGTCCTGGCCACCACCTGTGAGGGGACAGCACAGGGTAGCCTTATCCTTCAGTGGTCCCAGCACTGGACCGCCCCCCTTGCCCTTCAGGGGGTCTTTACCCTCTCAGGGGGCTGCTGCAGGATGGGCAGCTTCTCCTCCAGCTTGTCCAGCCCTTTGCAGGCGAATTCGTTGGCGGTGGAGACTGGGGGACGTGAAAAGAGGTGGGTTAAATGCCCTGTTGCCCTGAGCAGGAGCTCTGCTGGGGACAGCTTTTGGGCTACCCCAAAAACTCGTGGGGTGTTTTCCCTCCCATCTGCTTGTCCAGCTTCTCTGGCCCTTCATTCCCTGGTGATACAAACTGGATGTGAAATCAGATGATGATTCCTCTCCTGCAGCCTTGCAAGAGCCGTTTTTTGGGTACCCCAGAATCCACAGGGTGCTGCTCCCCCCTCTCAGCTGCTCCTCCAACCTCTCCAGCCCTTTGCAGGCACATTTGGTGGCAGTGGGAGAGCCAGAGGCACGAAACCAGGTTATTCCTCTCCTGCTGCCCTGCAGGAGCTCTGTGAGAGCCAGTTTTCCATCACCCCAAAACCCAGGGGGTGCTGCTCCAGCCCCGTCTCCCTCGGCCACATAACCCTGACACCCAAAACCCAGATCCCCCCTCTGCTGCTGCCCCACAGGAGCTCTGCCAGAGCGAGTTTTGGGGCGCTCCCCACCCCCATGGGGTGACGTCCCTTCGCCCCCACACTCACTCTGTGGCTCCAGCCGGGTGAGGAGGGGCTGGGCCACCGTCATCAGTGTCTTCACCCCCTTCTCGGTGGCGTGGCAGACGGAGCGGACGCGGCGGTGTCGCTCCTTGGTGCTCGTGTACGCGGTGGCCACGGCCCCGCAGGCACCGCTCACCAGGGGCAGCTCGGCCACGCGGCTCACCACGCTCTGCGGGGCGGGCTGGAGGTGGGAGGGGGTCCCCAGAGGCACCCGCGGCCCCCTCAAAGCCCCCCGTGCCCCCCCCACCTTACCTTCACCTCCGGCCCATCCCGTGCCGGCCCCTCGGCGTTTTCGGCCGACATGGCAACGGTGGCTGTGGGGAGAGATATTGGGGTGTCGTGGGTGGGTGAGCGCAGTGGGGACCCTCAGGGGGACTGAGACCCCCAGGACCACCCCACCCCAGCTTCTGTTAGCTGAGGGCTGAGACCCACCAGCTCATGACACGAGTGGGAGATGCTGGCGGCCTCTGAGCAGCCTGTGGAGTGTCACAGGGGGGTTTGGGGGAGGCTGGAAGGAGTTTGGGGGTGGGATTGGCCTCCTGCCCTGCTGGGATGCCGCGGGGTTGGGTCCCCTCGACCCCTCTTGAGTCCCCCCATCCGCACCTGGGTCCGCCCCGCCGCCCCTTTGGGGTGATTCAGAGGAAGCCAGGCAGGGTTCGTCTGTCGCAATCCCTCGCTGGGGACGTGCCTCCCGTCACCGTCCCCACGGCCGGGGCAGCCCCACGACCCACGCGGGGGAACAGAACGGCCTCCCCCTCGCCCCCCTCGCAGCCCCTCTCCCCTTTGGGGTGTCCCACCGGGCTCCGGGGACCCCCGGGACCCCCGACCTCCCCTGGGACGCCCGAATTCCACCCGGGACCCCTCCGGCCCCGCTTGCCACCCTCCAACTCCCGCCAAGCCCCGGGCTCGGTACTCACGGGGGGTGGGGGTTGGCTTCTGTCGCGACCCCCGGTAGCGATCGCGACCCCCGGGGTCCCGCCTAGCGCGGGTACGGTTGGCCAATCAGCGGCGGGGCGGGGCTGCGTCTCCACCAATCAGAAGGAGGGGCGGGGCAATGGGCGGGGCCAGGGCTGTATCCCGACACGCGGGTCGCGATCGGGCCCGGGCTGATCCGGGGACACTGGCGAGGATCCCCCCGGGCCGGGGGGCTGGCACGGCCCGGCCAGAGCCCCCAGGGGACAGGGGTCACCTTGCCACGTGTCCCCACGCTGAGGGACCGGACCCATTGGTTGGGGTGCCCACCCTCTCCAGGTGTCCCCATCCCCCGGTGTCCCCTTGCCACGTGTCCTCACCTTTAGGGACTCAATGACCAGTGTTTCCCCCTCTCCAAGTGCCCCCAATCCATTGCCATGTGTCCCCACCTCGAGAGACCCAATGGCCGGTGTCCCCACCCTCTCCAGGTGTCCCCACCCCTGGTGTCCCCACCCCAGGTGTCCTTCCCCCTTGGTGTCTCCACCTCACATGTCCTCCCCCCAGTGGACCCCAGTGCAAAGTGTCCCCATACCACTTGTCCCTCCTCCCAGAGGACCCCAAGAATTGGTGTCCCCACCCCAAGGAACCCAACTCCAGGTGTCCCCACACAAAACATCTCAATGCCAAGTGTCCCCATGACATCTGTCCCTTTGCCAGATGTCCCCACCCCACATGTCCCCGTGCCACCAGAGCCCCTCGGGGGGGGGGGGGGGGCACGGGGAGGGGGTTTGTGAGCCAACAGGACCCCCCCAATCTGTGTCCCCCCAGTCCTCTGGCCCCCCCCTCGGCCCATCCCGGGTCCCCGGTTGAGGGGGGATGTAAAAAGTCGCCAAGGCGGCGGCGGGGGAGTCGCCTCCGGTAACCGGGTGTTTATTGGGGCCGCGGGAACAGCCCGCGGGCGGCCGCATGCATGGCCGCGGGGGAAGGGGGAGGCTCCCGCCGCCCCCCGCCCTATTTACAGCCTGCCACCCCCTGGGGAGCTGCCACCCCGCCCCGGGGACCTGCCATCCCCCCCCCGCGAACCGCCACCCCGGGTGGGTGCCAGGCAGGGGTGGCACCGAAAGGGCACCCTTTGCCAGCAGAGAGTGGGTTCGGTGGGGACCCCCCCAGCCCCAGCGGTGACCCCCCCGCCCCGGCTGTGCTTTCCAGGAGGGGGTGCTGGGGGAGGGGGGATGGATAAGCACCCCCCAAGCTGGCACCGGGCAGGGGTTGACCCCAGACTGGGGGCTGAGAGTGCCCCATCCCCGGATAACACACACGCTTGGGGGGCCCCCATGCCCCCCGCACCCCAAATGTTCACCACGTTCCATCGCCACAACCAATGCACCCCGGTGGCACCTCCGGGCCAGGTGTCCCCCAGGGCGGGCGGCAGCACCCAGAGAAGCTCCCCGGGGTGCCCCTGACGGGCCGAGGGGCTGCGGGCTGGGGGGGCACCACGCAGCACCTGTGTCTGTACGTCCATCCTGCTGCCCCCCAGGGATCCCCCTCCCAGGGTGCTGCGGGCCCTGAGTCCAGCCTGGGGAGGGGACACGATGGACAGACCCCCCCACACACCCCCGGCATAGGGGGCAAAGCGCAGGGCACCGCCCCACGCCACCGGGGGGACACCCCCAAACCCTCTCCGGGGACAGCCGGGGGGGGTGCCCGTCCCGCCCCTCACCCCACGCCCGCAGCTCCTGCCCGGCCCGGCCACCCCAGGGCGAGGGGGACACACGCAGGGTGGGCACCCTATTTCCCCGAGGGAGTCCGCTCCACGCCGTAGCGCAGCAGGTGGTGCAGGTCCGTCAGCGCCCGCGGCGTGCCCGCTGCCCGCGGGGCCCGCGGGGCCGTCCCGTGCCGCCCGTAGGCGCCCGCCGCGGCCTCGCCGCTGTTGAACGTGTGGTTCCTCTTGAGGTGGGCGCCCGCGGGGCGGCCCGTGCCGTTGTTGGCGTTGAAGTTCAGCTGCTCGGGGTGCCAGGACGGCCCCTCGGTAAAGTCCCCCCCGTCCCCGCTGGGCGCCGAGACCACCCGTCGGCGCTCGGGGCTGGGGCGGGGCGTGCTGCCGAAATCGCCGTAGGAGCTGCGGGGCGGGCGGCGGGCGCCGGCTGGGGGGTGCTGCCGGGCGCGGGGACCCTCCTGGGGGTCCCGAGCCCAGTGCCCGTCACCTGAGGAGTCGCTGAGTTCGGCCTCCAGCTCCTGGTCCACCAGGATGGCGTGGCAGGAGAGGGGGATGCCTCGCGGCCCGCGGCCGGAGCCGCCGTGCCCCCTCCCGGCGCCGGCGGGGCCGGAGCCGCCCCCAGGGTCCCGCAAAGCCGCGTTGATGATGTTGTGGCTCTGCTCCCAGCTGCAGTTCTGGAGCGCGCCGGGGCAGCGCTTCTGCTGCAGCGGGGTCTGCTCCGGCGTGGGCAGCACCCCCGAGTCCAGGTCGTGCGGGGCCGTCACCTTGCCCAGCTCCTTGGGCCACCCGTTGGGCATCAGCGGGGCCAGCAGGGCGCCGCGCGCCCGCCGCTCGCCCAGCCGGCTGACGCTCACCACCGACTCGCTGTGCGCCAGGATCGTCTCCTTGTCCTTGCGCCGCGCCAGCTCCTTGCGGTCGCGGTGCCCGATGAACCAGCACACGCTGAAGCCGGAGATGACGGCGCCGATCACGAAGGCGGCCACCGACGAGATCACCAGCAGGTTCACCGACACCAGCCCGTCGGGCTCGTCCACGAAGCTCTCGGTCACCAGCCCTGCGTGCCGGGGAGGGGTCAGGGAGGGGACCCACGGGGGCCACCGCCACGTCCGCGGGTCCCCTCCCGACCCTGAACTCACCCTCGCACTCGCCCAGGTGGGACGTGCTGCCGCCGCCGATGTCCTGCTCGAAGGACACCCTGGGGGTGCAAATTGAGGTGGGTCAGAGGGTCCCAAATGGCCTGGGGCAGTCTCCCAGCTCCCTTTGGTGAGCCGTGGGCTTGCTGGGGCTCTGTGGTTGGGGGGGGTTCAGGAGCCCAGGCTCTCTGGGAGGACCCCACTGTCCCCCCTCCATGTCCCCCAGTGTCCCCCAGGCCTGGCAGCGTTACCTGGGACTGGGCTCCAGGAAGACACAGGAGCCCTCGGGTGTCCAGCCACAGTAGGGATCCCGGCTCCCCAAGCAGTTCCTGGCAGGGAGCAGAGACATCGGGATCAGCCCTGAGGGGAGGGGGGACACAACACCCCGGCCCCCAGGAGGGACCCTGCACTGTGCTGTGCCTCAGTTTCCCCAGCTCTGCTCCCAGCCATGCCGAGCCCATCCCAGCCAGATCCCGGCACGGGGTGAATTCCTGGGAGATGTGAAGGTGATGTGAAGCCCCCCTGCCCCCTGCACACCCCCCACCCAGCCAGCCCTGCCCACCCCAGGCACACTCACTTCATGCAGCCCGAGTGCTGCTGGCAGCGAGCCACGGGCACCCTGGCCACGCACGGGGGGAAGGCCAAGAGCAGGGACCCCGCTGCCTTGTCCAGCTCCAGCCCCAGGAGTCGCCGCTCGTCCTCCGTGTCCCGGCCACACCTGACGGGGCAGAGCTCAGCGTGGTCCGTGGGGCCCCACCACGGAGCCCGCCCCAGCTTAGGATGGTCCACTGGTGGTTGTGTCACCCATTCCCCCACCCTGTTCTTCCCCCCACTCTGACCCATCCTCTCCATCCATCCATCCATCCACCCACCCACCCACCCACTTGTCCATCCCTCCACCCACTCACCACGACCCCCAGTCCCCCTCCCACACTCACCTCCCAGGCTGGTAGGTCTCAAACTCCTCGAGGAAGACACTCTGGCTGCCGGGGGCGGTGGGTGTGGGGCTGCTGGTGGCGTTGGGCAGGATGAGGAACTTGAGGACGGTGCCGGTGCTGGAGCCCAGGAACACCACGGTGTGGTTGCCCCACGGCCCCGCCGCGTTGTCCACCACGATCTTGCGGAGCTGATACCTGTGGGGTGGGGACGGGGCAGGTGTTGGTGTGGGTGGCAGTGGGACTGTCCATGGGAAGGGGGAAACTGAGGCAGAGAGGTGGGGACTGGAACCCTCCCTGGGGGAGGGAGAGGGTGTGGCTGTCCCAGCATGGGGAGTCCCCCAGATCCCAGATGGAAATGAATCCAGGTCCTGGCCAGGACCCAGCCAGACCCATCCCAGATCCTACTCAGGATCCTGCCTACATCCTACCTGGATATAGACTGGATTCCACCCAGATCCCAACTGGCATCTAGCTCAGGTCCCACTGAGGAACCAGCCCAGATCCTCCTCAATCACTCTGCAGGATCCCAGCTGGTCCCCAGCCCCGCTGCCAGCCCCACATCCCTGTCCCCAACCTTGTGTCCCCATCCCCATATACTCATTCCCATTCCCATCCCTGTATCCCCATTCCCATCCCATGTCCCCAGCCCCATCCCACGTCCCCAGCCCCATTCCCACCCCTGTACCCCTGTCCCCACCCCGTGTCCCCATTCCCACTCTCATTCCCTGTCCCCATCCTGGCTCTCCCCTGGCTGCCCTGCCGGCGGGAGCCGCGGCCCGAGAGCGCCGCTTGATTAATTCCCCATCAAGCAGCAATTAAGGCAGATTTAATTAGGACGAGACAATCTCGGCTGCAAAGTGCATGAGATTCATCAGCTCTGCCGGCGCTGCCGGCTCTGGCTCACACGGGCCAGCGTGGGAGGCTCTGGGCCAGCATTCCCAGTTTCCCCCCGGGGCTTCCCCGGCACCCACCGGGTCATGGTGCGGAGGATCCAGGGGGCGTTTCCCAGGGCCGGCACCGCCTCGTCCATCAGCGGGTGTGTCTTGACGAAGTTGAGGATCTCGTCGGGGAAGGCGCTGGAGGAGTTGTAGCGCATCCCCGGGGCCGCGCAGCAGCCGGGCCTGCGGAGGGCACGGCTCGGTGACAGGGACACGGCTCGGTGACAGCGACGGGGCTCAGTGACAGCGGCCACAGCGCCACCTGGCCCTGTCCCCAGCCTGTCCCCAGCCCGCCTGGTGCTGGCTGAGGTTATCACC